GGATTATTGCTTCTAATTCGTAGCAACTGTGTAATAAGAAGCCAATCCATTTTCCGGTGTAGCAGATCTAGGTTGGTGCCTAAATAGGTTATTTGGGTTCGCATATCCAGCAGATAATCTTATACAAATAATAATATAGAACAAACAAAATTACACGTCAGTTTGTTGATCTTCATTCTCACCTCAGTGGGGGTAATTATGTTTGTACCGAAGAATAAACTGCTGAATGTTAGCTTTAATAATCAATTTATGAAACGTACTCAGTGTTGGGTGGGGATGAAAACTGCTTGCCCTTAGGAAATCTACTGTTATGGATTGGGATGTTGCTTGCACCTACTGCCTGTGCAAGGACTAGCTGGCACTCTACCTGAGGGCGATCTGTTCAATAAAGTTTATAAAATGTTTGTTGGACTGCTTACATCATGGGAGTACCGGTAAAGAATTCCCGGGATTCGGACTCCTGGGGTTTTGACTGGGTCGACAGGTCGCCTAAAAAACGATAACAATTTTTATGTACCCGACTCACTTTCTCCGTGTTGATTAAATTTTGGCAAACTAGGTTATTCAGTCAGTTTGATATGTGCTTTTATACCCAGATGACCGCAGCGAATACGTTTCCAGTTCGAATACCTTCTCTAAGTCCCATAAGACTCGAAAAGAGCTCGAATGGGACGGCTGTGCGGAGATAGTAAACATGCATGCTCGATGATGTGTGCAAACGTGTACATTCGCATATCGTGTTGATGAGCAACTTGGATTGGTTTTCCCGTGATCCGCTGATGACATCGGTGACACTCAAGCTGACTGGACGGATTGACTGGTACCGCTAATGAACGTGTTATAGAATATGGTTGTATGTGGTTATATATACTAATAGGCACAGTTAAATTTTCCATAATTTTTAAAGCCGTAAACCCTTCAGAATACGACAATATATGGTCATTTAGAAAAGTGTGAGTTTACTGGGAGACAAGGAGAACTAAGTTCGAAAGGTGGAGTGAACAGGCAAAAACGTGTGACGCTCCCCCAGTAAGGTCCCCAATAATCGAATTTTTTCGTTGACCAGCACGTGTATTGGTTTCATTAATGCAGTAATGTACTTTCTCGAAAGATTAGCGAATTAATTGAAACGGATTTACTGTGTTTGTTGTGATTTCAAAGTAGCATTCAACAAAGCATTTTAAAGTGCTCCATCTTCATTGTATTCATCGCCTTCGATAGAAAGCAGAGTAACCACACACCGCTTGAGCCTCTTCACCACCGGCGTCGACTGCACCTTGCTTACGTACCCACAAATCGCTACCATTTTACCAAATACTCTTCACGAATTCGTCTGAATCGTGCCTCATTCTACGCCTCGACCTCCTCCAACTGAAGTAAGTTATAAGGTGTTTTTGCCCTCCTGGAAAGACGATGGACCAAAAGAAATTTCTTAGACAAGAGTTTCCTGAAGATGAGGCTATGGTCACACGTCCAACTGCAGTTTTACTGGATAATATGTTACGGGTTCCATTGATAAACTTCCAATGCCTGCTCACATTTTTCCCCGCAGTCGGTTTCAAGTGAAATAAAAACAAATGTTGACTATGATACTTCTGAAATGTTGGAAATAGCATGCTGCTAGCTTACTCGAGTGTTTTAGCAACGGCAGCGGAAATGTAAATGTACACCTAATCAGTGCGGCAAAAGCAAGCAATACAGAGGTCATCATGGGGAATTGTGCTAGTGTGGTTTATTCTGGCTTTTTAAAGCGCGGTAGTAGTAAAAGTAAAATTCAACTCTGGAAGTTATATAGTTGCTGTTCCTTATATCTAACTCGGTGGCTCATCACGGATAAAGTGTCAGATCGCATACAGACGGTTCGAATGATATTTGCCAACTTAGAATATCTGTGGCGCCGCGGCAACTCCCGGCTCTCCGTTAAGGGTCGAGTGTATGCTGCGGCAGTTCGGCCAATTCTAATATAAAGCGCAGAAATATGGCCATTAGAAAAAGCATGAAGATAGACTGTCGCTGTTTGAACACCCGGCGTTGCACTTATCTGGTGGGGCAACCGAACGAGCGATGCCGATGTTGGCCGCAGAGTTTTAGGTAATCGCGGTCGCTCAATGGATCAAGTGGTCGACCTCCATGGATTACGTTCATTAGGGTACGTGTTACACATATCGTCAAATAGTTTACCACGGTGCACGTTGTTTATTGCGGGAGGGTTGGGTGGAAAAAAGTCAAGGGTTGTCAAAATAAGACCTGGCACGATGGTATGAAAACTCTAATCAGGAAACTGGGTCATATAAGTTCCATTAGGCTCCCAGGCTGGGGACATTGGGATGATCGTAGCAGATGGTTAGGGACACTGATTGATATGGCTGTCATAAACAAATGAAAGTCTCAATTTTCTCTCCGACTCTATCTTCAACTTCGCTGTCTTTTCCTACTTATCCAAATGACAGCAATTAAAACCGGCACACGAATGAATACACTAACTGAACTGTTCTGCTGCTAGTACCACCAGTGTTTGGTGAAAATGGTTCATACCTGTGACTTAATGATCACGTCCGGTTCACGTCGATCGTCAAAGAGACTAGAGGGAAGCAAAAACGCAAGAAGAGGAAACTGTTGTTGTGACACTGCCAATTAAAGATGTATTTCACGTAGGTTGAAGAACAATTGCACAACCCAGTTTTGGAAACAGCACATAACTCCGGTTCCAGATCACCACAAATAATCTTCCACAGGTATAATAAATCCCAACAGAGTCTTTATTATTTAACCGGAAGCAGTCCTAGTGCTTAAAGTCGACCTTCATAACTGACCTCACGAAGTTCCATAACTAGTCCAGTGTCGCAGTGCTGTAACTGTTCCAACTTAGCCCTTTTGGAAGGCGTGCATAAGTATACAAGGGGTTCTCCATATTCAAGCTGCGGGTGAACGTGGGAAGGGAACAACTTTCATGGTTATAAGTACACCAGTACAGGGCACCATTAGTGGTAGTTGTTACTTGAGACATGTCAAAAGTTATACGTATGCAACTGGATTACCAGGAAAATTTTGTTGGATACAGTTTGAAAAGCAAAAGCTCACTTTTTTGCCTAGTTTTGCTCCATTGGCTCAAGCCAACGCGATCGCTTACGATAGCGCAAATTTAAAATGATATATCTTTCCAAATGGCAAAATACATTTGTGTTTGTGCTGGGTGAATTGACCGTAGGCCCTATAGGGCCTAAATTATGAATTTAGAGAGTTCTTCTCGTGCAACGCGCATCCTCGCGTACGCACTGATATATGACATCCCAGCCAGCACCATTAGAGCTCGATTATAGTCCTTTCGCTCCCAAATCAGATGCATAATACGACCCCCATATAGAACTGCAAGAGGACTCTCTACTAGATATGACGCTTCTAAGAGGATGATATTATATGATTTAATCGCATCATTCGATTTCTTCCCTCGTTTTCTGTTATTTTATAGTAGTGATATAAAACGAACATTCTAAACATTTTGTAAAATCACCATCATATGTAAGTACGTATGCGCTGTGTGCCGTCATCCAGCAAAGTAAAGGAGGTCGATGCGATCCATTGTTTTTGTT